AGCTTGTGATCGAAAAATTTCATCAACAGTACAATCTGTAGTTTGGCCACCCGAAAACTATTGTGAGTGATCGGGACACCAGATTCATTAGTAAAGATTGGAAGGACTTTACTTCTCATATCTATGACATTAAACTCAATAAGACTTTTGGTCGACACCCCGAAACCAATGGGTTAGCAGTGGAAATCAACCAGACTGTCATTCAACTACTTCGCGTGATAATTGTTCCAGATAAGAACACGTGGGACAAGGAGTTACACAAAGTGAAGGGGTTGTACAACAACTCCATTCACTCCGCAACTGGCATGACACCGAATCAGCTGCAATATGAATGGCAATTGCGCAATCCTCTCTACTATCTGTTCCCCGAACGGTCACCTGGTCTGACGTCCGACATGCCTGGCTACAATGCCAAGTATGCACACTTGCTCAAAGCTGCTATCGCAGCAATGAACAAGCGTCACTGCGTCAGCATGCCATTAGTAAACATGCTAACAAGTCGCGCAAAGAAGGGAACTTTAAAGTAAGAAGTTATGTCTGGGTCAAAATGTTTGAGTTTTCTGACGAAGAGGGCGTATCACGAAAGCTTCTTTCACTTTACTATGGCCCTTGGCAGGTTCTAAAGGTGGTTGGGGATGATTTTGGTCCTTCGTATGTGATTGATGTGCCTCCTCATCTGCGCACATATCCGGTTTTTCACGCGTCCAAATTGTTTCCACACATCGATGATGAAACTTTTCCCTTCCAAGATCCTATGATACCTCGTCCTATCAACGACGACCATGAGATAGACATAATTGTTTCCCATGAAGGAAGAGGGAGGAACAAACAGTACAAGGTTCACTTCCTCTATCACCCGTTGAACGAGTTCTTCTGGATCGACCAAAAAGAGCTGCTAAAGAATGTTCCCCGTGTTGTTAACTCTTATTAACGACAAATTGCTGATGGATAGACTGCTAAGTTTTCTGCAAAACTCACTCCTCACGGTTATAATAAATCTTTTTTTCTAATTTACGCCTACGATGCATTTTGTGCCGACTCTGAATGAGTTACTCGCTCGAAGGGACCTCGCTCTTGAGAGGGGGGTAGTGTAATGACCCGCCAAAACACTGACTGAGAACACTGCTGATTTATGGGATTTGACGCTGGAATGAATGCCTTGTCGAGATTCCTGCATTCTGCTATGGTTTCCAAGTCTGTGTGTGTGTGCGTGCCTGCTGGTTTGCGTGTCTGTCTGAGTGCTTGTCAGCTGAGTGTGTGTGTGACCCGCAAGGGTACTTGTTGGTTGAAACTTGAAAGGCCCCGCAAGGCCGGTACTTAACTGTGACCGTGACTTTGAGGATTGCAACGGGGAAAACACTCAAGTAGCGGGGGTAGGCCTGCGACACTTAGAGCAGCGGGGAAAACACTCAAGTAGCAGGTAGGCCGGTACCACTCAAGTAGTGGTAGAAGTGTCGGGTACTGGAGGCCGAGCAAAAGACGACAAAAAGTTGGCATTTTTAGAGGCTCAGTAGCGGTAGGTTAGAGGTAGGTCGGTACCAGTCCAAGTAGCCTGAGTCTAGGGCCTGTCCGAAAGATAGCAAAGCCTGCAATGATGTTTCCCTCCGAAAGGGAGGAGGGAGGTACTGGTTGCTGGGAGGCCGCTCGGCCTAGGAAGTCACCGCCCAAGAGGCCAGTAGGCCGCTATATCTTCCGGAGGAGCAAGCAGCTCCTCCTCATTTGCAGTATGCAAGGATTGGCGACATGCTGCTGGAGCCAAGCGCTGGACTTGGGCGCTCAGCCTGGCTATGGCAACCAGCCCAGCCTGAGGAGGAGGAAGAAGGGGGCGAAGGAGGAGAGTGGCGAGGTACCTACCTGGCTATGGTGAACATCATCTTCATCACCTTGTTGGGCGCTGCATCTGGAAGGCCCCAGTTGGGGTAGTGCCGCACCAAGGAAGCTCGAGGCAGAGTCAGGCATGGCGACTTAGTCAGAAGCGGCATAGCTGTTTTGGGTTGTCCTTTGGACAGGAGTGCAGCGACATAGCTGCTTTGCGTTGTCCTTTGCACAGGAGGGCAAAGCCTTAGTAGTCTGCCATAGCCTAGGCATGTGAGAGGTGGAAGAAGGGGGGAAGCCATGGCTATGGTGGACCTATTGTGATGTCGGCAGTAAGAGGGAACTTCGGACATTGATTCTGGTTCATCCACTCATTGTTATTATTATTATTGGAAGAAAAATAAGATTGGCAAATTGAAGGAGGAGGAGGAAGGTGGAGAGAGAAGGGGGATTTGTCATTGGTCTTGCTGGTGTACATCTTCTTCTTCTTCTTCTTCTTTCTCTCTTGTTTGGTCTCTATCTCTTTGCAAGTACTTTCATTTCTTTCACAATCGGGTGGCATTGTCATTCATTGTGAATTTACATTCGGGAATGACCAGGATTGTAACAGGCCCCGAAATCCAAACATTTGGGGTCCTGCCTCTACGTGATGTGGCCTTGGCCGTCATCGGGCCTGGGGCCCGTAGGCAGGTTACGAGGCATATTGAACAGGTTATTGCAGTAGCAAAAGACTCTTGTTTCTCAAGTTCTACGGCTATGGCCGCCAGCAACAGCGACAAATAGGGAACTCTCTCTCTCNTCTCTCTCTCTCTCTCTCTCTCTCTCTCTCTCTCTCTCTCTCTCTCTCTCTCTCTCTCTCTATTTATCTCTCTATCTCTTTATCTCTCTCTCTCTTTATCTCTCTACTCGACTATTGCGATCACACAGAAACGTGCACAGGTCTACGATATGTCTGAGTGTCCTCACCTTCTCCTCTCTCACTCAGCTTTCTGCTTGCAGCCATGACGACCTTTGCTGTTGGCGATGTGCTTCCTATGCACTGTTTATCCGGCGATGATCTTGGCACTCAATAACACTGCAGCGCTCCTGCATGAGCTGAATCAAAGAAGAGGCAACGCCTGAATGTCAAGCTGCCTTTGTCCTCTCCGTTGTGTCTCCCAGATTGCTCGTGGTCATGCCTGTCGGGCCCATCCGCGACCGTTAAAGATTTGGACCGTTGTGGACCTTCCCTGGAACTGAGTTGCGACTTCACCCAGGAACTGGACATGAAGTGACTCCTTACTGACTGACTGCGGGAGGAAGGCAATCCAGTGGCGAACCGGGGGGAGCTGCCTTGACAACCTATGGTCCGGGGATGGTCTACGTGGCAAGAACAGGTCAGCTTTGGTTGATGTTGGTTAGGATGGCATTATCTCTGAGATGCAATGTCTTGGTACAAAGAGGGCTAGGAGTTGTTCTAGGATTAGGAGGCCGGAATTGCTGATATAGCATAGTCTTCTATATTTTTTATATACTAATCAAGCTTTCTGGTGTTCTGTAACTCTTGGCGGGGTCTGGCTTTCTTCCTCATTCGGGATATAGGATTCCAGAGGTGATCGAATGTGGACTGATATCTGCAGAGTTGCTTTGTTCTGTGCCCCTGGTTTGCCGATGCCAGAACGACGCTGGCCGGAGCTGGGGCGTTGCCCTGTAACCTGCAAATGGCAGGAATGTGAGGCCTTGTAGAGAGATCTGGGGATTTGCTGAGGGAGGAAGGCAATCCAGTGGCGAACCGGGGGGGGCTGCCTTGACAACCTATGGGTCCAGGGATAGTCTAGGTGGCGAGGACAGGTCAGCTATGGTTGAAGTTGACTAGGATGGCATTGTCTCTGAGATGTAATGTCGTGGTACAGGGACGGCTAGGAGTTGTTCCAGGATTAGGAGACCAGAATTGCTGATATAGCATAATCTTCTATATTTTTTCTATACTAATTATCATCATCTTTAGCATCATCATCATTAGTATGATTATCTCACAGTTTACACAGAAATTCATCATCATCATCATCATCATCATCATCATCATCATCATCATTGTCATCATCATCATATGAGGGACGCTGAGCCCGGTTCTCAGCATGTTCTGTTCGGTCATGTGAGGACCCTGGCCTCAATCTTCTAATTGGTAATATCAGCCTTGGGCACCGGGCCCGTTTTGAAAAAAAAAAAAAAAAAAAAAAAAAAAAGGGACTTCTACTGTTCCTGGGCCTTAACCTACAGGAAAGTTCTAAGCGCCGCCCCATGATACAAAAGGAAGTATGTGTGGGGTACTGCGGTACCGGGGTGGACTGTTGAGACAGGTGAACCCTTTCAAATTGCCTATTGGGGGGGAGAGTAACCCCGCTCAGCGTCACACCCAAATTGCCTACACCAGAAGGACTGAAGTGAAGCTGACAAACAGGGTCATGGCAGTTTCCGTGTGGACTGAGTGGAGTGATGAAACTGTTTGTCAGCTTCAGCTTCACTTATGCCTTTTGAATCTTCCCTTAAACCACCACTACTTGGCCCAGCTAACAGCCGTGGAGAAAAATAGAGCAGAAGCGTTTCTAGTCGGATTAATTTGGGCGCTCCTGTAGTGGCCCGTACGTTTCCTAAAATTGTGGCTTGTTAACGGGCACGACTTTAGGAAGTACTGGTGGTTTAAGCAGAGTTACTGACAGCATGTAGCTAGAGTATTGATGTTGATTTCCTGCTGAGCATGATGATATGCACTGCGGGGTAAGCTCGCCGGAGCAGACATTGCGAAGTTTATCCATCGAAAGATTAGATAAATAGCGAGAAAGATATCTGCATGTGTGAGTACGTCCTAAGGCACTGAAGACGTAATCCAGACGTGCTATGTTCCTGACCTCTCCGTCTTGGACTGCTTTGAAGTTTGTGAAGCTCACTTCTCTATGGCTTGGCACCTGTAGCAAGTTCTTTGTTCCAGGCTTCTCGGATTTTTTGTGGTGGTTGTGACAAGCAAGATGTCCTCTGCGTGTGTGTGTGTGTGTGTGTGTGTGTGTGTGTGTGTGTGTGTGTGCGTGCGTGCGTGTTTGTGTGCGTGCTGATAGCTTGACACTGAATGCTTGCTGATAACTTGTACATTTGTTTTGTGATGGAAAATGTGAATTTTGTGAATTCTAATGGATGACAGGTTGGAGTGTACTATGACAACACCACTTTTGATGTCTACTATGTCGGGCCGAACATCAATGACACCTTCTTGGGCCACACATCAACTCCACGCTTCTTTCAGCGAAGGGAGAGTTTAATGAATGTCACATTCTACCTTTATGTTGGTTCACTGGAAGTGGATGATTTCAGAGAGCCCGTAGCCAAGCAGCTCGAACAATCCAGCTCACTCGATTTTCACGTCAAAGGAAAGGTGGTTGCGCGCGTGCAGTATCTGGGCATCACTTCTCCACGTTTCACGGTGAGAAGTGACATACATTATTTCCTTCCCCATAACCTCTGCACTCTCTGCTACCTGATCGTCCCTGTCCTTCTTCCTGTTAGTCATGGGATACCCTGAGTTCATTACAGCGGTGCATTCAGACGGGAAGCCCCAGGAAAATGTGTCAAACACATTGTGACTCTCATGAGCCTAGACCTGACCTTCAACTGATAATGCAACCAACCCCTCAGGTATCTGGTCCCCCTCTTGCGAGGGTCCGTGAGGCAGATTTTGGTACAACTGGCCTCGCTCTGTAATGAGATAACATTCAGATAAGACTATGTTATGTCAAGTGCTTTAAATGTTTTGTCAATTGCTAACTACCGGTACTTGCGAGCCGCTGTTTGTTTCCCAACGCTGATTTATGCTTCACGGCGAGTTTTGTTGGCTGGCATGCACAGCCGTTTTGTCTCGGCAGGCAGAGCCCTGAAAGTCGTGGAGCATTTATCGCCGCATAGGAGAAAAAGGACTGGGAAACGCACTGGTGATTTAATGTCGAACCGCCGTGAGCCATTTATGATTCTTAGGGGCAGGCGCGCAGATGTGATACTCATGCTGAAGAAGGCATCAGACCAGAATGACCATGCTTGTGGTAACTCAGCGGAAACATAGCGTCAGTGGAGCGTAACCTCTAGGGGAAGGGCTCATTGGTGCTATGTTCGTGCGGTGCCAGCATGAATCTGCCCACTTTTATGGGCAGTTTTGGGCTGTCCAAGGACGAGTATAGCACCGCCCAGGAGCATTTGGATAAAGGCTTTTACATCGTGAAGGCACAAGTGCGAGTAACCCTAGTTCTCAACTTTCATTAACATTTTCATCTCCTTCTCTGGAATAATAAGCAAATGTGCAGGCATGTATCCGGATGTAGAACTGGTCAGGTTCTTCCAAACATAGTGCAAACACAGTATCAGTGGAGCCTGGTCCTTGGCTGTGGCAAAAAAAAAAATCTACCTTGTGTCTTGGTAGAATAATACATTTGACCCGAACGATCATCAACAACCAGGGGTTGGGGAGAACCGGTAAGCGCTCGGTAGCGCCGCGTGAGCGCTAAACCGGCGCTAATTCGGTATCGAATTAGCGGCGGCTTACCGCTTCACGACCGGCTGACGCTTGACGGTAAGAGTGCTTGTCGAGTCCGATGTCACGAGTTGTGGAAAGACGGGCGCCTCGACTGGAAGATTCGGTTGTTCATATCTCAACTTCTGCTTGGTTGGAGGGGGAGTGCTTTTGCACTCAGGAATATGGACCCCAGGCGATCTCCTTGCCGATTCCCGGCTCCTATACTTACCAAACAAATAACTTCTGGAAACTACCGAAATGCTCTCTCTTTTGCCCTAATTAATTTCGGGTGAGGCAACAACTTTACCGCTCGTGCCTGCGAAGAGCAGGTCCGAGTTTCGGGCAAACTTATCTAGCGGAACGCGCTGATCAAGAACTACTAGCTCTGTTATAGGAAGAACGATCCGGAGCGGCGATGCGGTGGACAGTGGGAGATTCCGCAGCATTGGTGGGAGCGAGTTGGAAGTTCTGCGAGCATGTGATCCCAAGGAATGTCCAAATCCAGAGGTTTTGCTTCTGGTATTGACTACAATAGATTCACTGTTTTGAATGTATATGGTTAGTATTTGGCCGCATTGGTGGGTTAAATCTATTTAGATGGGCAGGCTCTCTGATGGCTAGACCCCATAGCGTCATACATCTGCTGGCCAGAACAGGCTAGATTCACCGGTTTCCCTAATTCGACCTTTGTCCTAAATTTGAGCTGTGTCAGGAGATCGCTTTGGTGGGCATATTATAGTGTGCGCCTTAGCACACACTTTTTAGGGTCGAAGTTGGGGAAGGTCAGCCGAAAGCGATAGCGATAATTTCCTTTATACAGATTGAATGTGGTTGCATGTTAGGATAGATCAACTCATGTTCATTTAGACTGCAAATGACTTAGCCAATGTTCCTGTTGAGTATTGCATGCCTGTTGGCTAAGCCCCTTGCTAAGCTGGGTACTAGGGGAATTACTTGGTTTGGTATGATATTTTAGAGTGAGTCAGGGCAAAATTCACGGATTCGAACTACTAGTAGTGGTGCCACCTTGAACAGTGGGAGTGTGACAAGGGGCAGTGAGAACACTACTGGTCAGGCGGAATGAGAGAACCGGTGAAGAGCAGACTTGAGGTGTATCCATTGGGTGCGTGGTGGGAAACCCGTCTCGGCAGCTCAGGCTCTTTACAGCGTTGCGGACAGTGAGAGATGATGAGATTGCCCTGGTAGAGTTGAGGGAAACATTCTGGGTGAGGATTTCAGCTGTTATGTTTGCCGCTCTTCTGAGAAGGCTGCTGCAGTATTTTACAAGTGAGAAGAAGTAAATTAGATTGGTTCAGGATGAAATTGAAGGAACTCGTGGTAGCGGTGCCACCCTCAACAGTGAGAGTGTGACAGGGGGCAGTGGGAACGCTACTGGTCGGATGGACAGAGAGAACCGGTGAAGAGCAGACTTGAGGTGTATCCATTGGGTGCGTGGTGGGAAACCCGTCTCGTCAGCTCAGGCTCTTTATAGTATATTGGACAGTGAGAGATGAACCTAGCAGCATCGTGTAAGAATAATCGGCAATTCCCTGAATCAGAAAACTGCCAAACCGTCTTGGCAGCTCAGGCTCTTTACAGTGTTGCAGACAGTGAGGATGAAAAGTTTGCCCCGATAGAGCTGAAGGAACCATGATGGATGCGAAATTTAGTTGATATGTCTGCAGTTGCTTTGAGAAGGTCGCGGTAGTAGTTTATGAATAGAAGAGGGAAGTAACTTAGAGTAGTTTAGGGCGAAAGTTACGGAGCCGCTAGTAGCGGTGCCACCTTGGGCAGTGAGAGGTGGTCAAGGGGCAGTGGGAACGCTACTGGTAGGGAGGAAAGAGAGAACCAGTGAAGAGCAAATTTGAGGTGTATCCATTGGGTGCGTGGTGGGAAACCCGTCTCGGCAGCTCAGGCTCTTTATAGTATCTTGGACAGTGAGAGATGAACCTAGCAGCATCGTGTAAGAATAATCGGCAATTCCCTGAATCAGAAAACTGCCGAACCGTCTTGGCAGCTCAGGCTCTTTACAGTGTTGCAGACAGTGAGGATGAAAAGTTTGCCCCGATAGAGCTGAGGGAACCATGATGGATGCGAAATTTAGTTGATATGTCGCAGTTGCTTTGAGAAGGTCGCGGTAGTAGTTTATGAATAGAAGAGGGAAGTAACTTAGAGTAGTTTAGGGCGAAAGTTACGGAGCTGCTAGTAGCAGTGCCACCTTGGGCAGTGAGAGGTGGTCAAGCGGCAGTGGGAACGCTACTGGTAGGGAGGAAAGAGAGAACCGGTGAAGAGCAAACTTGAGGTGTATCCATTGGGTGCGTGGTGGGAAACCCGTCTCGGAAGCTCAGGCTCTTCACAGCGCTTTGGGCAGGAAGGATGAGAAGTTTGCCCGGATAGATTTGAGGGAACTATTGTCAGTAAGGAACGTAGTTGATAGGCCTGCAGTTGTTCTGTGAAGGCTTTTGCCCAAATTCAACAACAGAAGAGGGAAGTAATTTAGAGTAGCTCAGAGTAAAGTCCACAGAACTACTAGTAGCAGTGCCACCTTGAACAGTGGGAGTGTGACGAGGGGCAGTGGGAACGCTACTGGCCGGGAGGAAAGAGAGAACCGGTGAAAAGCAAACTTGAGATGTATCCACTGGGTGCGTGGTGAGAAACCCGTCTTGGCAGCTCAGGCTCTTCACAGTGTTTCAGACAGTGAGAGATGAGGGGATCACTCTGTTCCTAGGGTCTATAATAGTAAGATTTGGTTGGTAGCGGATAGTGTGTCCGGCTTTTTTGATGTCCGAATTCATTTCATTTTGCTAGTTCTGACTAAGCTAAACCGGCTGACGCTGCCGGGATAACTCCGGGTTGAAATGTGAGGTCCCCACCCTCGTCAATTGAATTTTGCAATATATGAAAAGAATATTCGGAAAAAAAAAAAAAAAGAGTAATACATTTACCACAGACTTACTACTCTAGACTCAGCCTTCGACTCGGGAGTATGTAAAGGGAAAAAGTTCTACAAGAATAACAACTCCCTTCTAACCCAACCATGAGAGTCACAATAGTACAGGCGTACATGGAAGTTGATAGAAAATAGTCAGACCAATGACAGCTTTCCCCAGCTACCGTCTTCACCTGAATAGAACGCCCGGTCATTATAGCTGTCCTTGGCACAACTTTCAGCCCAGATTTGGCGATAATTACCGAGCATTCTATTCGGGTGAAGACGGTAATTCAAAAGCTCACGCACCCTGCTCAAGAAGCCTCAAGACAAATAGCAGTTAGACCACGAGTACTTGGCCCATACATTAGCCGCGGGCCCCTCACTGCGGCTTTCAGAGGCCGGAAACACGACGAAGGCCATTGATGAACTTTATCAAAAGCGGCCCCGGCCTGAAAGTTGCGGCTGTAAATGAGCCGCATCTTTGTTTTTCAAGCAGGGAAACATACTGGTGGTGGGTTTAAAACCACCAGTACTTGGCCCAAGTCGCGGTGGTTAACAAGCCGCAACAATGATGAACGAACTGGCCACTACAGGAGAGCCCAAATTCGTCCGACTAGGAACACTTCTACTCTACCTTTTCCCATGGCCGATGTATGGGGTACTGGTGGTTTAAAAGGGCACAAAGGATAGGAGGCTTGGAAAGAACAATGGTGTTTGCGGAGCGCTGCCTACTGAACCACGCAAGAAATGACCTTTACACATAAGAGCTCTCCACACAAGACAAGACAGGAACTTGGGGAATGGGAGAAGTGGAAAGCGAAGGAGGGCGACGATTGAGAGCAAGGATAAGAGAATGAGAGGGAGGTGAAAGAATAACATTGTTGTTTTTTTTTCAAACAAAGACGAAGGGCCAAGCAAGGAAGGAGCTCAACCATCCTATCACTCAAAGGGTCAGCAGGGGGTAACCTCGGACCTAGAGAGAATTCTT